AAAAACAACAACAACAACAAAAACACCCAGCCCAAAATAGGAAAGAATTTTTTATGAAGTTTTACGACTGTAACTATGGTTGGTGTTCGAAAAAACATTCTGAAACAACATGCCTAAATTTGTATTTTCGTCAATATCACATGGTGCATTACGTCAATACGCAATAGGACCGTTAGGGGTCATACCCTAACGTAACCGTTGCGGTCATTTCCCTGCTGGGATTGGATTTGAAGGCACAAATAATGTGAATACATGGCAGGCAGATATAATACGACGACTTATCATCCAATAAACATCGCTCGTACTATCGGAATTTTAGTAATGAAAGCGATAAAGAGTGTAATAAGGGCGCCGCTGATTGGTTGTCTTACCGGTTCGATGTCATCATGCCAAGAATCATAATCGGTTACCATGGCAATAGACGCATAACAGAGCCCAGCCTCGTTAGCAAGTGCGACCTCTGGCATGGGTGTCATGCCTATGATGTCACCTCCCCATAARCGAAACATTTTACTTTCAGCTCGGGATGAGAAGCGAGGTCCCTCAATCACGACATGGTTGATGCTGYCATCATGATGCTTTAATTTCAAATCACGTGCAACGTCAATCAGAATCTGGGGAAATTAACAGATACACGATATAACATGCAAAACTATGGCCGTAGACTTTACGGGAGGCACCAAAACGAAATTCGGCCTGTAAATAGTCTTCTTCACGATTCCCTGCGCCATCTTGAAAGGTAGCCGTGCCTTTGCATTAAAGCGAGACGACAGTTGAGCGTGCAATGATAAAGACCCTCTTTCACACCTACAGACAATTATTCACAGGTATCTATCATTGCACACTCAACGGTTGTCTCGCTTCGATGTAAAGGCACGGCTACCTTTCAAGATGGCTCAGGGAACAATGAGACTATTAAGTAACAATGCGCTAAAGAACTAGGGAACTCTCTATTGTTCTGCGGCATAGCAAGTTCCCCATGTACGAATGTCTTGGTTTTCACACTGATCATGTATCCATCTGTGGGTAACACATTTTTGAAATAAAATGTGGTTAAACTCTATTTTGAAACAAAGTTTCTTTTGTATTAAAAGCTCTTATCCAATCATAAGCACTCAAAACAATAGCCAAAAGATGCTTCTAATTTGCAATGTTCCCCACATAGAATTGCCTTAATATTGAAGCTAAAGAAAGCTTTCATGAAAGCGAAAACAGACATTAAATAAAATATTAGAAAATTTGCTAACTTGTGAAATTATAGCAGATTTTCATGYTTCAACCAATGGGATGGATGGATTATACAATGCGCAATTAGCACCTTCTTGCATTCCTGTGCCGTTTGCTTCCCTAGTTCTTACTCGGGGCATTACTTAACTTTTTCACTGAAAATACTTTTGAGTGATACAATAATCGACATTCAATATTTCGGTTGATCAACCACATAGCATCCTTTGCAGGCTTTTCTTTCTAACTAACGGGCTCCCTGTGTTAGATCAGTGGGGAAAATGCGAAATGATCCCGCTTTTTCTTCGCCCAGCACCCCATCTTCCCTATTATTCCACAGGGAACCCGTCTGAAAAAATAGCTAAAATGGAATCGAATTTTGGGATCATGTTGGATAACTGTAGAGATCATTTTGGATAAACAATGGAGATCAATGCATGACAAGGAATTAAACAGGATCAAAGTGAAAATGGATTTGGACAAAATGGAAAACAACTCTAGATCATTATGTACATATAGAATATAGGACCAAGGGAACTTGAATTATACAATATGGGTCGGATTAAATGGTACATACATTATCACAACATTGAACCTCAGCAGGTGCTTGCAACATGACTGAAGCTGGGGGGTTTATGCTCATATCATGAGGTAGTCAGGGGGGTCTGCTTACCTGTCTAGTTAATGGACAGTATGGCTCATGCATTGCAACATGACATACTCCTTTAGGACTACCTGGTTTACCATCATAAAATGTTGACTSTCGTTTTGTTGTCCTGTCAATAAATTGATCTGGAAAGACRATGTCRCCTGGTTTGTATTGTTCCTGTAGTGATCCACATGCYGTCGTTACTACTAGATGAGTACATCCCTCTTGCTTCAGAGCATGGATATTGGCTCGGTAGTTAATGTCAGTTGGCATGATGGTATGATTGCGGCCATGTCTGTGGAAAGAACAGTTTTTTCAATGATACTGAATTTGTTCTTCAGAGATTTCATTGATAGTGTTTCTGTGAGATTCCAGACTGTGGCTTTTTGTAATATATAAAATATGAGCAGGAGACCTTTATGGTCTCTAAAACTACTCGCTTG